TGTAAAATGGCACGACTTTTTTTTTATGTTAAGGACGCGTTCCCATTAAGTCGTGACGACAGATAGGCGTGCAGTTTAAAGTGTTGTGGCTTGTATATTTAAATGAACACCGCGTAAAGTAACACGTTTAACTGTCGTTCACGACTTATGGGAAAAGCTAGAACGACAGAAAAACGATACGATAAAAAAAAGTTACGATATAAATGTAACGACACGTCGTGCAAACGACAAGGCGACTGCCATGAACCGATAAACTATCGTCACAATCTTGTGGGAACAGCTAGACACGACAGTCGTTCAACGATAAAATAAACGTTCACAACACAGTCACGACAGATAGTCGTGACATGGGAACTGGACCCCGATTCAGAACTCTTCGATATCTTAACCGAATCGTTCAATTGGATATAGTTCTCGAGTCGAAGGGCACTTTCCGAGCTATTCAGAACATTCGAATTAAACGTTCGATTCGGATGCGGATACGACATCGTTATCCAACAACGTTTAAGGACTTAGTCGACGAATATAGATTATAAGAAAAATGAAATCCTTTTATATACATTTTTAAGACTTTAAAGGCCTAAAATATAGGATTGCGTTAGTCTCGCATTAAAATAAATTAATAAAATTGAACAAAATCCATATTTTATTTAAAATAATATAAGATTTCAATATTACATTCTTGCTTTGTAAATAATAACTTTCACTCGATAACTGTGTTCTGAATAACGTTTGTAGCCTTTGCCAGTCGAGAAGTTCGAGTACTCGTACTGGTGTGACGTCATTACGGTTCGGTTTCGAATACGACAGTTTGACGTTCGATTCAGTTATTGTGAATAAAAATTAAAAGAAATCGTACGATGTCTAATCAAATCGGTCGACAACAGAGTTATCTTAAGGTGAATCGACTTGCAGGCTAGACGCGACAATCGTCCAACGATAAATAAAAAGGATTAGATATCAGCTACTCGTTTGCCTCTTTAAATATTTATCTCGTTCAACCTGTCACCCTGTATACTCCCAGACAAGCATATAAAATACCGGTCTCACCTGTGTTATGAGTACCAGAGGTGCGCTGTTGGCGAAAAAAAAGCCGTTTTGAGCTGCGTTTCCACCAAAGACATGCGAGAAAAAACCCACAAATAGGATTACTTCGGTCATTCTAGGACTAGTGTTCATTAATTTCCGTAGCAATTTGTATTATTTAAATATGCTAGTAAATATACTTTTGTTACAAAACACCGGCCATGGTTATTATATTAGAGAAAATCTTAACATCGCGATTCAGAAATTGTGTTTTCTATGCCAATGCCATCTAACGGCAATCTTCGGAACTATTGTTACGTTGAGTATCCGGCTATTTGGCCTGAAGGCGAAATACTATTCGTTGCAATACTAATTATAACATATATACCCAACAAAGGTAATAATTCCTTATGTATCGATACTATCTCCGCTGAAATTCAAATTTTTCCCGATTCATTTTGCTTGAGACACTGGCTTTATTTCTCAATTTATTTTCTTATGAACAAAATTGAGGCCATTTGAAAAATGTATATCGTATACTATACGCGTTCTGTTTAGTTCTGTTGATATCAAAAAAGATATAATGGTATATATAAAGTACTTATTGAATACAGCGGTAAGTTTTAGTTTTTTTTTTTCTATCGTGAAAATTTTTAGGAAATATGTTTTCACACAGTATAGTAATCAGTGTATCCTCAATTTTACTATTTTTTTTCCAAAGCGATTGCTTATGCTATGCAGAATCAACCAAAGCATTTGGCATTGTATAGACTATTATATGAATTTAGTAAATGGAAGCATCTACCTTGTATGTGGGCTCATATCATTGACTTACAATTATATGGACGTCCGGTCCGCGCTAAAAAGTGTCCGAACTTATAGGGCGTTAAAATCGTATACAGAGCGTCATTCACGCTTTAGTCTTCGTTTGTTCGACTGACAGCGAAGCAAGCAAAATTAGACAGTGCTGCGATGACATTACAATTGAAATTCAACGTTTTAGCTTTTTCATATTCCTTTACTTGTCACTACGTTTAAATAGGTTGGCTTGGGACATCTTTTTCGTGGTTTTTGTATTAGACCCGTCGTCCATTTATTTGTAAGTCAATGGCTTATATGGATCGTTTTGACGAGGGCTTCCATTATGCGTTTCAGCATGGGTCCAATAACTGAATAGGACTGCTAATCTCCATTATATTGAAAAAGGTCAAAATTCCGTCTTATTTCTGTATGACGCTGATCCTAATAGTCTCGAAGTAGTTTATATTATGTAAATGGCTGTGGATATCAAGTAATTCCTCTTTAATATGAAATATAAGTTAGTTTTTTTTCTTTATAATATTATTCAAATATTGATCATGAGCTAAAAAATCTGAACTTTGACAAACATGCACGTCAATAGATGTCATTGTGTGTTACAAAGTAATTTATAAATTAAGGGATAGATGGCGCTAATCTTAAACAAAATAAAAGAATATTCGGCACTATCCATGAAAATCTGTACAATAAGCGTCGTCTAGTTCATATTTTTGCAAAGTGGTCCCTACCGCCTCCCAGTGGGCGCTGAAGTATCGTCGGCTTCGGCAGACAACAAAAAAAAACCTGAATTATAAATAATTTTTTCCTTGTAATTTTTTGTGTTAAATTAATATAAAAAATACGTGTTTTCTATTATTTTTTGTGACGATAGACGTTTTTTATCTTGTTATATTTATTAATACAAAGATCGAACACTCATAAAAAAATCCTACGACCGGATTCGAACCGACGTCTTGTAGCATACTGTGCCAGACGCTATACCAACTAAGCCACTGAACGAACCAACGGACCTCACGAATTTTTCTATGTGCTTGTGTCGCATCTTTATATTTGGTTTTTTCAACGTCTTTTAGCCGTAGCGCCATCTATGAGTAATCTATGATATTTCATCACCCAGTTAGATAACTTTACAGCTGGCTAGAGATGTCGCTATCCATTGTATTTAAATTTTTATTGAATTGTTATTCAATTTTTTTATGTGACGTTACGCCACTAGTTTTTTATCTTGCCTAAAGTGGGCGGTGAGACAAAAGTCTGGGGACCTATGATCTATATTCTAGCCAAATTCGACGTAGAATGTGGACGGCGCCATCTATCGGCTACGTAGTATAACTAATTCGATTTCTCGTTTTTTATACATATTACACTACCAAGTTCTCGGAGAGCGCGATAGGTAGCGCTGATCTCCTTGTAGTTTCCAAGGCTGCCGTGTCGCTAGCATATAATAAAATTTGTACTAGACACTCTGAACAATCTGTCATCGGAGTACTGTCTAATTTTGCTTGCTTCGCTGTCAGTCGAACAAACGAAAACTAAAGCGTGAAGGACGCTCTGTATACGATTTTAACGCCCTATAGGTTCGGACACTTTTTAGCGCGGACCCGACGTCCATATAATTGTAAGTCAATGTGAAAACCCTAAAAATCATATGTTTTTGTTTGTTGACATTTATTCTACATCGAATTTGGCTAGAGTGTAGTTGAATTGTTTGTCATCACTAGAAATTAGGCTAGCTTTGACAAATTGCAGCTTGTCAATGTAAAACAATACAAGAATACATATTTGGTAGTAGTTGCGACATCTGGTTTACCAAGAGGTATTAAATACTCGACTACGAGGTCTTGTATCGCTATTAGCAGTCCAGTTGAGTTATAGGTTCATGGTTTCAATACAGCGAAAGCGGATAGTCAAAGTTTTGAGATCGGTTTTTTTTATAAAAAAAGTTATCTATCATTGGGTTTTACCTAAGAACCCTGGATTTTTGTCAAAGTAATTTCTTGTTAGCAATATTTGTTCCCTATTTATTTTACCTTGTATAAACCACGGAAGAAATAACAACGGAAGTGCGTTTAGTCCACGATTAGTATCAGAACCGAAATCGCCAAAACTCACACATTCTTAATTGGAAACATTACACACACAAAAAATCTTGATATTAATTGGTCGTAGTTTCAAATTTAAAAAGAAACAACGAATTCTGGATTGTTGTTGGCATATCGTTGAAAGTTCAACACCATCAATAACTATTATTGCAAGTTACGACGTTTTGATTTTATATTGAAATTTCAATCAATGTGCTGCCATCTAGCTGCTAATTGCTGAACGACGACGAATTGGAGTTATTAATTTAGCTCTCCAAAAAAAGAAGCGACCGTATTGTTTCTTGTAACAGAAAAGTTATTTCGATAAACAGAAAATTGAACATTTATTAAAATAAGACTGTGTGATGATATGAAATACCACCACGGGTAATATTTTTGGTGCGGCTGTCATTTCGACCCCTCCGACGTAAAGTATCGTATGTCGAAATTGCCAAGTTTACAGGGAAGCGTTTTAAAGTTCTGAATTCACTGAAACGAACATAACACGTGATTTTAGCATTTCTCAGTTTTATTCGGCAAAGCTCATTACTCACATAGAGTATTATAAAATCCTAGATATCGGTTAGATGATCTATGGTGATCACTCTTACAGTGAATTCAGAACTTGGAAACGCTCCCCTGTAAACTTGGCAATTTCGACATACGATACTTTACGTAGGAGGGGTCGATTTTAGCATTCCAAAATGGCATTTTTCAAAGAACGACACAACCACACCATACAAAGCGAAAATGGCGGACAGAGCTCAGATAGGTTTTTCGAGACCTATAGTTGGCACGCGTTGTTGCTAACTAACCACTTCCAATGTATTTATTGTTCTGTGATCTAAACTATTTAGGTATGACCATTGACTTACAATTATATGGACGTCGGGTCCGCGCTAAAAAGTGTCCGAACTTATAGGGCGTTAAAATCGTATACAGAGCGTCATTCATGCTTTAGTCTTCGTTTGTTCGACTGACAGCGAAGCAAGCAAAATTAGACAGTACTGCGATGACATTACAATTTAAAAGCTTTTTCATATTCCTTTACATGTCACTACGTTTAAATAGGTTGTCTTGGGACATTTTTTTCGTGGTTTTTGTATTAGACCCGTCGTCCATTTATTTCTAAGTCAATGGGTATGACCTAAATGTTATTCTATCAGCAATAACAGTACTCCTTATTTCTAGCCTTGTAAGCAGCCTCTTCTTTCTGAAGCTGGACTCTTAATTCTTCCACATTTTGCATCATTCTGTTGTCTGCACCGCAGTCGTCTACTATTTTTTGGAAGAGTTCCTCTGTGAAAATAAAAAACACGTAAGTTACAAGCGTATCTACTTGATCGTCGGCGCGCGTCACATTTGACACCTGTCACTTTTCTAATCAGTTGGTATTTTTTAACCGACTTCAAAAAAAGGAGGAGGTTCTCAATTCGACTGTTTTTTTATGTATGTTACGCGATAACTCCGGTATTTGTGTACAAATTTTCATGATTATTTTTTTGTTGGAAAGAGGGTACCTCCATAGTGGTCCCATTTAATTTTGAAGAAAATCATCTATCTAAGTGTGGCTGTTCACGCCTGCACATCAAGCTACACATTGACGTATCTTGTTCCGTTGCACTGGAGGCGATTTTCGAACAAAAATGTGTAGTCTGATGTGCCGTTGTCCGTACATGTATTCTATGTAGACAGTATTTGTGCAAATTAAACCTTATACTTATGTAATAAAGACTATAACACAAGAAGAAACCACTTACGAACATTTTCGCCTGTCTTGCTTGAAGTTTGAAAGTGTCCGTATAAATCTTGTGAATATGTGGCCACAATATCCTCAGGGACTTCTCGGGTGACAATGCCGGCGTCTAGGAGATCTTTCTTTGTAGCGCAAAGGTAAACTTTACAGGTCTGTAAAGAATGAGAGAATTTAATTTGAATTTCACCATGAGCTTTTTGGTGAAAAAAATTTAATGATGTGTGTGAAGTTAAGAAAACCAACCCAAGCCCTCTCATTGTGAGAGGAGGCCTGTGCCCAACAGTGGGACTATATACAGTGCTTTTTTTTAATGGGACAATATGGGGAAATCCGAAACTATAGAAGATACAAGGAATCTAAGGAAACATGAAGTCTTTTTTTGTGAAAACAATTTCAGTATAGTAAATTTTTTGGTCAAGCGAGTTGTCCATCAAAATGTATAAAATTGATCAAATAGAAATTTGATAGGAAGAAAAGAATTTTAGTGCTAATTAACTCAGTTTTATGAAGGGATCATTTCATTGTACGGGACGAAAAAATCGGGACACCTGGAAAAAACTTCCATTTTGACAAAATGTAATTTTTAAGAAAAATAAATAATTTTTATAATTAATATTTAATTTTAGGAATTAAATATTAATCAGAAGTCCGAAATGACATTTCACAGAAATAACATTTGCTGGAATTTTCATAGCCTCGAAAGCAATTTTGAGAGGAAAAGGTTTTTCTTTTAAACCTAAGTTAACCTAACCGAATCTGTTCGTGTCTTTGCGATAAACTTCCAACATATCCTGAAAGAACAACGGTTTCGTTACAATTCGGTTTTCGGGGTTATGAAAAGTCGACCAAACATTATTTTGGAGAAAATAAATTCGAGTTTGTGATAGGTGTTGTTGTGTTTCGTTATTTTAAAATAATTTTAAATCTCGTTTTTCTTTACGTGGCTCTTAGACTAACAAATTTATCTTATAATTCAGGCTAAATAAAACTTCAAAAGATAATTTCTAAATGTAGAACATAATGGAAGGCTCCAAATTACATTTTTCAAAGTTGTGAATTTTTCAAATTTTTCAAACTTTTTCCAATTTTTCAGAAAATTACCCAACAGTACCCGATACAGTGTTTACCCAGTGCAGGGTTATGAGTGTGTGCGTTATTTATTTTATATTATTTATAATTGCTAAATTACCTCCTCCACAGTTCTAAGTTCCGCTAGCCAGTGCCTCAGGCGCTGCCAGGAGAGTAATGAAGAGGGCTCGTAACAGATTATAGCTGCGTGTGCACCGCGGTAATACATGCGCGTCATTGCTTCGTACCTGAAAGATTTATAAAGAGTATGATCATCATTATAACTGCCTCCGTAGCCGAACAGATACCATGCCGGACTGCCACGCAGAGGTCCCAGGTTCGATTTCCAGTGCCGGGAGAAATAGTTGGATGGCCTACAATTATTTCTCTCGTGAGTTTGGGTGTAATTTGTGGTTGTCTATGTGTGTGCCCAGGGCACCCGCGACACAGGGTTTCCCTAGTGCGGGGCTATGTAAAAAAGAAAAAAAAAATTAATTCATTCAGCGCTCCCGCTCCATCTAAGACATGCTCAGACCTAATTATCTTTCAAACGCATGTTGCACAAGCATCTGTTTGACAATTCGTCGGGGATAGTGTAATTACGCGTAACTAGCATTTCATTATGAGTCTCCATTTCGGTAATTTAGTCGTCATATCAAATCCACGTTGTGGCAACCAAATTAACGTGATTTACCGGAATCTATTGTTATCAGTCCGTAGACAACATAAATTAATGCTTAATGTGCAAACATGAACAGCGGAATGAGGCGGGATAAGTTATTTTCACCTCTCTGAGCACGTGCTTAGGTTCCTTTTTTCTCGTAGTGAACGCCTGGTTTCATTAGTCAGGTTTAGTAGGCTATTGTAGTGTAGGTATTTCCAATTTTGTATGAGTGATGTATCTTGTTACGTAGTAACAACACACGTCAAAAAATGTAAGGATCAAGTGAGTTTTTTCCAATTACCGAAAACCAGGCTTTTCAATATATTTTTTTTAACACTGATGGATTTTTCTGGTCAATTATAGAATTTGAATTACAAAATGAAATCGATTAAAAAAAAAACAAAAATCCTGATTTTTCAGTAATTAGCGAACACGTGCACGATGACTCAGATGAGCGTATTATGCAGTGGCAAGGCATCCATATAACCCGATTCCCTCCGGCATGCCTAAAATTTTCCACGTATCATCAAATATTATAAATATTTTAAAGTAATTTACATTGACTTACAACTATATGGACGTCGGGTCCGCGCTAAAAAGTGTCCGAACTTATAGGGCGTTAAAATCGTATACAGAGCGTCATTCACGCTCTAGTCTTCGTTTGTTCGACTGACAGCGACGCAAGCAAAATTAGACAGTACTGCGATGACATTACAATTTAAATTCAACGTTTTGGCTTTTTCATATTCCTTGACATGTCACTACGTTTAAATAGGTTGACTTAGGACATTTTTTTCGTGGTTTTTGTATTAGACCCGTCGGCCATTTATTTGTAAGTCAATGGTAATTTACTACATTTTGTGCTCAATTTTACGTGTAGAATAATTAACAACCAGTGAAATAAACTCTACTAGTATCTTGTGTGCTAATAAGTTTTTAGCAGCAGCGGAGCTCCTTGTGAAAGGGTTCGTCTAGGGAAATACTGCCACTGTCGGTTTTGAAGGGTAAGCGTGCTGGTGAAATTACAAGCACATGGGACTTGTCAACTTATGTCTCAGGGCGACGGGCGTACTGACAGTGCCCCTCAAACGTTTGCGGTTTAAAGCTCTGAGTGGCACTGTAACTGTTATGGATACGTGAGTCGCTTACCACCAGGCGCGCGACTTGTTCGTCCCGTCACTTGATATTGTAAATAAAAAGTGCTGTGTTCCATTGTTGCCAAGGCGCCACATGTTAAGGCAAGTCTTTTTTATTTTGCTCAGGCTTTACTTAAGACAATTTCTACGCCTCGCCTCTGGTATTAAGGAATCTGTGCTCAGGTTGATGTGTAATGGCATCGCTCCCCTCAGATCTTTGCGATTTAACACTTTGAATGGTACTGCAGCTTGTTAGTTGTGTGCCTGCTTGGAGCATGCTATAGCAGAGATCTTACAAAAGATGACAACCATCAATCTAAAAGGAATGATGTACCTTTCACTGCCTGCAGTGTCCCAGATACCAACATTGAAGTCTTTTCCGTTTGAATGCATTGTTTTGGCGCAAAAAGCTGCACCGATAGTCTGAAAATAAATACATTTATTAATAATGTAATAATAATAATTGGAATATAATAAATAAAAATTTTCTTCAATAAAATCAATACTAAAAATATCAAAATCATAGTCAAAAGATATTTTTCAACACACACAGATACATAATGTTCAGACACTAATTTTTGTAATAAAATTTTACTCCATAACTGATGTCTATTTACATATAGCAATAATACATATTATTTATAAATACTACATATACTATAAAATATATACATTTAAAATTAAATTTATTCTTTACTTAATGTGCTAACATTTGTTTTTGGGGCATCCTGTACACTTGTTAACAAACCGGTTTCCGGACAGTTCGCTCAGAGTCTAGTTGAATAATAAAATACTTTGCCGTCTTCACTTTTGTACAAATGTATGCCTCCAAATAAAGATAAAAACAATGTCTACCTACTTATAAGATTTGTTTTTTAATATTTTGTATTGGTTTGTTCATAGCAAGGAATGGATGGCATCGAGACAAACCCAAGTAGGATTTAACAGTGTTTTACATTATTTATGTATACTTTTAAAAAATAATAATAATAATTAGGTAAATTTCACTAATTTGAATGCTAGGTAAGTCCAACAGGTTACTAGAGAGAAGGCCGATGCTTATAAAGTAAGCCACAGACTAAAATAGAATTGTCTGAGCTTTAGTCAAGCTCCAGTATGTAGGTACAAATAGATCGAGTAGGTTTTAACATTTAGAGGATGCTATCAGTATGTATGTGATTGTTGGTACTATGCAATAGAATTTCCAAATATAATATAATACAGTCTAATTTTAGGATATGAAAATTTATACAGTCCCAAAATAAAAATGTTAAATTAGAAAAATGGTAATAAATTGGTAACATCACTCGGTGTGTTCGTGCGTGCGTGAGTGTGATAACAACTTCTAAAAATTTTTTAATTAATCAGCTGTGGTAATGTGACTAGTAAAGAGACCGAAACATTGGAATGTGTAAAAAAATCTACTCAATTTTGTATCTGAAAAACAAACTAGTTTCATTTTTCATTATGTAACAATCGCGAAAGAATCCTTACAACTTGATATATAAGACTTCCTGTTAGTAGTATTCTTCATAGATAAAGGTCATGTACCTAAAAGGTTTTCGAGACTATGGACAATTCCTTCCATCTGGTTTTATTTTCGGCTTCTTTCAGGGAAGTAGCTATAGTGAGACCAGTAACGGCAGTCATCAGGTCAGTCACCAGCAAGGTGATCAACCACAGACTCTCATTACTTCCACCTTATCCACCGCAACTAATTTTTCAACGTTGCCTGCTTGTCAGCGAGTAACAGGAGATTATTTTAAATAAATTTTTTTTACTGTCACAAGAATGCTTGGCCATTAGGTCACCTGTTATAACTCATTTCTTGTTTCTTTTCTTTTAGTGTCTTATGTGCAATAAAGTACTAGATATATACATATATATTATGGACAAATATTTTGGATAAAAATGGCAGGTTTTTGTACAAACAGTTCTACAATGAATTTTTATTTTAAAATGGTATAATTTAAATCTCAATAAATACAATTTTTATTAGATTGATTCAAGAGCATATGATCCGATCCGTGTATCGATTCAGAAGTATATGATATAAAAAAATCACACATCCCTAAAGTATTTTTTAGTTTTGTTTGCTTTTTTAAGCTCATGCTATAGCCAATGCTCAATAAATAAATAAATAATAATAATTGGACGTAGTTAAACAAAAAAGACCCAATGCACATCCAGCCACTTTCGAGATATGGCAGTTTGAAGTTTAAAAGTGTTTCTTGTCTTATTTTCAAAACTTATAATGTCATGTAACTCTAGACATATTTATTTATATTTATATGTTGGATTTTTTTGCTGATCTAAGAAGCTAGACTTTAGAGATTGCTTGGCACATATAACTAACTTTTTGATAATTTTGTGGATTAGATCTTTTTTTGCATAACTACATACAATTGTATACATTTTGATAATACTTAGGCATGACTAGATAAATATGTGTACCAGCGTCATTGCGTCAGTTCTTTATCTTGAAATGAGATTGTTGTTCTAAATTCCTTCCACTTATTGCATGAAACTCAATGAATTTAAATAAAAATATTAAATAGTTTTAATTTTTTTATTTAAATTCATTGAAAAGAGCAACACCAGGAGCTTTTAAATCGCTCTGTTCAGGTGAATCTGCCTTCATTCTTGCGATAAAAAAATTACAACAAACTTAATTGAAATTTATTTACGAAATACAAGATATTTTAAACGTATTGCAAGGCTGCAAAAGCTATAGGTACTTACATTTTGATACGGGGTGCCTGCATTAAACCTACAGTTAACAAATCTAAGCACCAGACTAGTCTTTCCTACGTGCTCACTCCCCAAAAGTACGATTTTAAAATCACAGCGACTCATGTTTATCAATTTTGAAACGTAATTCCAAAGTTAGCACAACATTTTACACTCGTACACTGGTGATTAACAAGTCATTAACTTATTCGTTATGCTAAATTGAATAATGAATCGACTATTTAGACTTTTAAAGTAATTTGTTTTTAAACAAAAAAGAAAGAAATCACAACAAAACAAAGTACTTTCCAGTATTTTCGTCTTACCATCTGTCATGTTTCTTTTTAATTTTCTTAGAGCCTGGCTACAGATACAATTAAGTCATATCCTATGTTGCGTAATTTTTCTGAAAAATTAGAAAAATATACTTTGAAGGCTGAAGGCGTATAATATTATGTTCTACGTTTGGACATATCTTTTGCAGTTTTATATAGCGTAAATTATAAAATAAAATTGTATAGCTAAAAACAAGTTAAAGTAAAACGAGATATACATAAAATGATTGGGAAAAAAAATCAATAAAATTTTTTTTAATGGCTTCAATCTTTCTGTTTTTCTGTTTTTTTTTCGGCGGGTGGCAGTGCGCATCCATCGTTTTATTGGTCAAATAATTAACTGACCGCATTCCTCGAAACTGACACTGGTCAAAGCCTAGTGGCTGCCATTAAAGAAATAATAATAGGAAAAAACATTCGTAAAAATATTTTACTGATAGTTTTTCCATTACAACACTATTAGCCACGGCCCGATCCTTTAAACACGGCACCTTAGAGGATGGAAGAAAATAAAAGAACACTATTATTAATGCATGTTCGGAGTCAATTTTAATAATTTCTAAACGAAAATTTGTTGACGTTATAAGATCAGTATTGCCCTTATTATTTATTCAAATATAAATTTATTAATCTATTTTGTGAAAGGTTTGAATGTTATGTATAATTAATAATGAATTTAGTTCATTTTTTAATTTAAAGCATGTTTCCTACTAAGCATTACATCATGTATTCCTTTTTGTACATTATACACCTGTCCTTTTTCCAATTATCAATTATTGACTACGCTATCCATGGCCGCGTAGAGATCTTCTCTCATACAAGTTAGGTCACGAAGGGCACACGACCAACTGCTGCAAAGGACTGTATATTGGAATCACATCGAGTTGAACCTAATATCCCTGAACCCTCATTTACAGCTTGTCTCTGCTATGACCTACTTGGGTGTGAAGTCGACCCAAGGACTTCCACGTGAGCCACCACAGATCGCAACCTGGTAGTAGTTGCTCAAGAGCAAGGAAGAGGAAAGAAAAGCAAAAGAAGTAAGGAGCAAGGAAGAGGGATGATGAAACAAGGTGGTGGGATTTTTTCTGTTTCCACAGTTCACACCTAGAAACTCGGATGGACACTCACAGCCTTTGTGGTGTGCAAGAAATTGTTACGGCTATTGAGACTTCAGAGACAGTTTCGTCAATTGTTAGCTACTCAGATCCACAATAAAACAATCTGTTCTCACAACTTCAATATTCATATTTCTATGATATCTGGGCATTAAAAAATATTGTTATTAACCTACATACTTATTGTCTACTGCAGGACACGGGCCTCTCTCATTTACTTTTTAATAAACATTGCGTTTCATTAACAAATAACAATCTTACCCATTTTAATTTATTTTATAGATTTTAAAATTTTAAGTTATTTCATCCGCAAACATACTCTAAGTAGGTGCTATTTAATTGCGAAACCTCTGACACGACAAACTACTGACGTCGCCATGTCATAACCGACACGTCAGCTATGAAAACTTTAATTATCGTCATCCCTTTGAGTATAGGCCTCACGTAGTTTGTGCCATCCACCAAGATCTAACTTTTAATTCGATTTAAATTACTATTTGCTATATATTATATACTTTGATTTAAGGGCTGACAAAATTTATTTTGACGTTGGAATTTTAAAGAACTAATGAATATAATTATTAATTAGTATTGCGAGTTTTCGGACAAAAGCGCGGGTCGAATCGAATATTCGGGCAAACCATCCGACTTGTTTAGGAGTCGACACAACCGCATAACAGTGAAAGTGTTGAATCAATGAAATCACTTTGGAAAAAATTATAGTAAAAATAAGGGAGTAAACTGCAAAACAGCAAATTAACTTTTTTCATTCCTTCTCACCGCACTGGTTTTCTTTCTAACTCATTTACTCTTCAGGCAATACGACTCTTGAACGCTGTTCCGCCCCATATTCGAAAAGCGCCGAATAAGCTTCCTTTCCCGCAAATAGTCCGTGATTTCATGTTGGAGTTTCAGTTTACATCCCATTAGTCTGTCATTGTTATATATCACACGAGCCATGTACCCCACCTGCGGTGGGGTCGGGCTCGGCCTGCGGCGCGTAGTCGGGTTCAGTTTACAGGGTGTGCTTATGCTCTTTTTTTTTTTTTTTTTTTTTTTTTTTTTATTTGGGTCAACAAACAGTTACACAATACAGGTAGGTTTCAAAAAATTTACAAAGAATTTCCTTAATGAGTAACCAGCACCGTTAACCATATATTACTTACAATATTTAATTATTGAGTAGGAACAGTCCTTATTCATGTATTATATATTACTTATTTGTGTCTTACATATTACAGTTTACGTTCTATTGGTGCCTATAATTAGATATATCTTTCTCAAGAACTTTATTATTTATATATTTCTTAGGTATTTACTTGTTTATATTTTAATTTATTTATTAATAACTTTTTGAAAGTGCCAACTCGTGTGCCGAAAATGTCTATGTCATGAAATTCATTGTTAAAGTAGTTTTTTAATCTGTGCAGAGGTGATCGCTTGCCAGCGTTGGTACGACATGTACCCGTTGCGAACAGCTGATGCGTTCGTGTCAAACGCATGCCGACTCTGTATGGAACTTTGTAGGAAATATTACCAATAATTTCAGGGCAATCGTATTTGTTATTACAGAAGTCATACATAGTCATGCACTCCAATAGTTGACGTCTGGAATGTAGATCCAACAAGTTATATTTTTCAAGAAGTTGACCATAATTATTTTTCTTCCCCTTACATCGATAGTTCATGCAATATATAAATTTTTTCTGCACCCTCTCTATATTATGTACGTATTTATTGTAGTAGGGGTTCCATATTGGTACAGCATATTCCAATTGTGATCTTACAAGGGACTTATATAAAATTAACATGGACGATGGCATCTTAAATTCTATGCTCGAGCGCATGACAAAACCATATGACTTAAATGCTCTATTGATGATACTCTCCACATGCGTGTCCAAATGTAGTTTCGAGTCGAGCGTCACTCCAAGGTCTCTTACGCTATTAACAACATCTAGGTTCACCCCGCACAGCTTATACGAATGTTCCAAATTAGCTATTTTTTTTGTGAAAGTTACCTTCTTACATTTAGTGAGATTCAAACTTAATTTATTTTCATTGCAGTAAATGGAAAAGCGATCGAGGTCCTTTTGAAAACTTTCAAGATCCTGAGTACATTCGACTGTATGATAAATTTTTAGATCATCAGCGTAGAGCAAAAAATTACAAAATTTAAAGCAGTCACTGATATCATTAATATAGATAATAAAAAGCAACGGTCCAAGAATGGATCCTTGTGGTATGCCTGAGCTAATATCCACAGTCTCTGACTCATGACCTTTAATCACTATTTTCTGTGTACGATTAGAAATATATGAATTGAACCAGCGCAAGAGATTGCCACGGATGCCGTTGAAAGCAATTTTTTCCAGAAGTATTTTATGGTCTACCCTGTCAAAAGCCTTCCGAAAGTCAGTATAAATACTGTCAGTTTGCTTATTTGAATCCATGTTTTCAAACAAATGGTTTGTGTAAATTGTTAAATTTGTTACAGTAGATCTCCGTTGTACAAAACCATGCTGTTGTGGAATAATAATGTTGTGTAAGGATGGGTATATAGCACGATGTATTAGTCTTTCGAAAATCTTAGACAGGGCAGGTAAGATGGAGATTGGGCGGTAATTTTCTACCTCCTGCTTTGAACCTCCCTTATGCACTGGCACAATTCGAGCCGCTTTCCACACCTTTGGGAATACTCCTTCGCAGAGGCACTTGTTATACAGGATATGCAGTGGCTTGTAGATGGTTACTGATGTGTTTTTCAAGAAAATGGAAGGTAAGTTATCTATGCCAGGGCCTTTAGTTGTATCCAATGTCCTTAACTGGTTTTTAATGTCATCAGCAGATATTATTATGCTACAAATGTTATTGTCACTGTTAATATTATGATTACATTTTGTATCTAGGTCTTCAACCCTAAAGTCAGCTGAGAAATCAGCTGGAACAAACACTGATGAAAAATAATTAGAAAACAAGTCACATACTGAAGTAGGGTCACTTACGGTTTCATTTTTATAAGTAATAGTGTTGGGAATACCTCCATTGGGCTTCCGATTTGATACATATGACCAGAAATACTTAACATTCCTCTTTATACTGACTTCTATCAATTGTATATAAGTTTTATACCTCAAATGGGATTCTGTTTTAAAACGTTCTCTATATAACGAAAAATTTTCATAATCCGAGATATTTCCGTACTTTTTCCACTTTATCCATGCCTTATTTTTATTCTTAAAAATGTGTATGAGAGATGAGTTAAACCAGGCGGGATATGAATTGGAATTCATCAGTCTCATAGGCACATGTTTTTTAATAATACTGAAAATTATTTCATAAAATTTGTCAACCGCTAATTCAGATGACGTTTTCATGAGCAACTCGTCCCAATTTGTATTTAAAATAATTTTATTGATAACTTCGTAATCAGCATTATTATAGCAGTAACGTGAGTGTGGCTTAAGATGTAAAGCATTGGAATACCCGGCTTTTAATGAGCATATTGTAAAGCAGAAGGGAGGATGGTGCTCGTCAATTGGTACCAACTCTTCGGTGGCATAGCAGTTAGTACCAATTTAAGAAACGAACATTTCTAAGTTGGTTTTCGTCTGAGTATTCTGGATTATCGTTGTTTTGGTATTCACAGTACAGGAAATTCGGCAGTAGGTAG